TTGTACTAATTCTTTTTCTTGTTCTAATTCTCCTTTTTCTTTTTTTTCTTCCTCTTCTTCTTGTCTTTTCTTGAACTAATTCTTCCTCTTATGGCACCAATTCTTCTTCCTGTCCTAATTATTTTTATTTTTGCACTAATTATCTTCTTCTTGTACTAATTCTTCTTCCTCTTCTTCTTCTACAGCTGCAGTTCCCTCTGCCGGAGTTCATCGTGGCGATGGGCTTCTTCCTGGTCCTGGTCCTGGAGCAGGTCGTCTTGGCCTTGAAGGACCGATCGTCCCTCCAGCAGGAGGAGCGCAGCGCTCTGCTGGTTGACTCCAACATCCAGCGCCGCCGCCGGAGCTCCGCGGACTCCAACGGTCACGGTCATGTGGACCTGAGCTCACAGTCGGCCCTGCGAGCCTTCATTCTGGTCTTCTCGCTGTCGCTGCACTCAGTGTTCGAGGGCCTGGCGGTGGGGCTGCTGGAGAACGCCGGCGAGGTTCTGGAGATCTGCCTGGCGATGATGATCCACAAGAGCATCGTGTCTTTCAGCCTGACCGTGAAGCTGTCGCAGGGGCGGCTGCGGCGCTCGGCGGTGGCCGGCTGCCTGCTGCTGTTCGCCGCCATGTCGCCGCTGGGCATCGCGCTGGGCATCGCCCTCACCGAGACCAAGACGACACCTCAGCACCAGCTGGCTCGCTGCACGCTGGAGGGGCTGGCGGCGGGAACCTTCATCTACATCACCTTCATGGAGATCCTACCGCACGAGCTTGCCGTCCCCGCAAACCGTATCCCCAAGGTGGCCATGCTGCTGGTGGGCTTTGCCGTGGTCACCGCCGTGCTCTTCATCAAACTGTAACCGTGACAACACCAACTCTCTTTTTTCAAGTTTGTATTCAACGTGTTACGAAAACTAATCCACAGAAATGAGAAGCTGCACAAACGTCAGCCGAGAACATTTATTACATGCACATTATATATTTTTAATCTGTATTTTTAATAGAAGAAATAAGAGAACCACACACCTTCACATCCTCAAGTTCAATTTTTATTTTATTTTATTTTATTGATTAGTTTGAACATTTTTAAAATAATTTTAAACCTTTCTGAGGCAATTTTCGCCATTTTTGTAGGCTTTTTGAAATGTTTTTTTTTAGGTTGGACCATTGTCTCAAGTCATTTCAATCTTTTGGAAGCATTTTACATAATTTTCGGGCCTTTTGGGCAATTTTGTGTCCTGTTGGGCAAGTTGTTTTTTTTTTTTTCAAACCTACTGACTGGCTAAAAAGTAGCTCTGTGGATCTGCACTCGACTGCTCTTCCTGAGTGACTCGGATGTGTTGCGCAGTGTGGAATTTTAGAAAGTGAATGTGAATGGTGAAAACCAACTATAGATGGTTGAATTTTCAGTGAGTACCATATACATTTTCATACCAAAAATTGTCCAAAATAACTCATAATTCGTCCACAGTAAGTCAAAACTTATGCAAAATGTGTCAAACTTATTTTTTTTACAAATTATTTTGAATTTGTGCAAAATTAATCCAAATTCTTGTGAAATTACTTTTTTTTTTTTTTTACAAAATTGCTCAGAAATTGCCCAGAATGACTCAGTGATGCAAAAACGAGCCAAAGTACAGCGTCACACCGTCGCATCATCACATCTTCAAGACAAACGACTCACCAGCAAGCCGAGAAAGCAGCGAGACGTTCACGAGTGAAAAACATCTCAGTACAACAAATCCATCTGTCTGTGTATCCTGACAGAGATGCCATGTGGGCAGAAATATGTACCACAAGAAACTAAATTCCAAAGAACTATATTTGAATTTGAAATTATTTTACCATAGCCACAACAGTTTGACTTTTACAGTAAAAATAAGAGGAGACACTGGTCACGCTGCAGCTGAACCTGAATCTTAATGTCAAGAACTGAAGCTGAATCATGACAAAAAAATGTAGACTTGAATTTTCATTGAGGATCAATAAACACTTTCATAGCAATTCAGTTTCAAAATATTACATTTAATTTCCAGTTTATTGGAATTCAGTTTTTCAGTCTAATTTTTTAAAGTAGAAAAATTCAAATAAAAATGATTTAAATTCAATTTTCAGTGGCACAAGTCTGCTGATATAGTTTTTCGGTGCAGTTTAGCGCTGCAACAGTTAATTGGTTATCATGTATTAAATAATTAATTTTTGTTTTTGGGGATTTTTTGGGGGTTAAAATATGTATATTTACATACATACACTGTCATTTTCTGTGATTCCATTTCCTTAAAAGTTAACATTTTCCTCTGTGATAGTAAACTGAATATCTTTGTGGACAAAACAAGACATTTGAGGAAACACTAAAAGACATTTTTCATCATTTTCTGACATTTTAGAGACCAAATGATCGACAGATTAATCACTCCACTCTCACTTGGACTCTCACTGTGGTTTGTTTGTGGTGCGACATGTGATTATCATGTAAATTTATTTTATGTATGTATATTGCCCTCTTTAGCACAATAATGACAACTATTTTCATCTGTGATGCTGATCTGCTGATTATTTATTTAATTATTTTCAATAATTTAACTCTAAAATATCACAGGATGATGAAAATGTCCATCACAGTGTCATAATACTAAAGTAAATGTCTCTAAAAAGACTTCTTTTGTTTGACCATTAGTCAGAAACTCAGTTAAATCAGTTGTCTCCATCCATCCATTATCTGTACACCGCTTAATCCTCATTAGGGTCGCGGGGGGGCTGGAGCCTATCCCAGCTGACTTAGGGCGAAGGCAGGGGACACCCTGGACAGGTCGCCAGTCTATCACAGGGCCACACTTAGAGACAGACAACCAAGCACACTCACATTCACACCTACGGACAATTTAGAATCACCAATTAACCTCAACATGTTTTTGGACTGTGTGGGAGAACCCGGAGAGAACCCACGCTGCACGGGGAGAACATGCAAACTCCACGCAGAAAGATTCCGGTGCCCCCACCGAGACGCGAACCGGCAACCTTCTTGCTGCGAGGCAACAGTGCTACCAACTGCGCCACCCTGCAGCCCCTGAATATAATAAGTTAGCAAAAAAAATTTAAAAAACCCCAGTAAATTCTGTGATTGCAGCTTCTTAAATATGAATATTTTCTAGTTTCTTTGCTCCTCTGAGACAAAAAAAAAAAGAATATATTTGGACAAAGCAAGACATTTTAGGAAACACTGATCCACATTATTCGGATGCTGTGGCGACCAAACAGCTGATCACGTCATTCAGACAGTACCACTTAAGTGCTCTCCCGGATCACTCAGCAGTATTTTTGGTTGCAGGTCACATTTTGTTCCCTGTTAATTTCCTGGAATTAATAAAATTTCAAAACATTCTAAAACTCCAAAGCAGAATGTGGCCCTGCAGTTTTACAAATAAATTTTTGCCAATAAAACAGCCAGATTTATAATAAATCTGCCTGAGTAGCGACCATTTCCACAGAAATATGATCTGCCTCACAGCGCAGCTTCATTTAGTCTGTTTTCTAAAGAAGAGCTGCAGGACTGAGGCAATAGAAAACACTAGAAAAACAAGTTGCTGAAGGTACAAGAATATCAGAGTTGGGAAGCTATAATGAGCAAAAAACAGATGTGAGTTGTTCAGCTCTTCAGGTTTCAGTTTGCAGTTGCAGACCGATGTGAATCTGTGTTTGGACTTCACTTCAGATGAAGAAACTGGAATCACCGCAAGCGGCTTGTTGTCGTTTCAGCAGAACTTGATAGAGCTGGACTGATGATGGATGCTGAGATGTTGCTATGACGACAGCCAGATGTTTGTGTCCTCTGCTGCCTGTTTCTGTAATTATTCTACTAAAGTCTGTTTCAGGACTGCAGAATTTAAAACATCTTTTGTATTGTGATGATTCGTCAGCGATTTCAAGATAAAATAATTTTTTTCACATTGTTCAGAGTCTCTCAGTTTGTTGCTTTGAAGTTAAGAGTTTAAACAAGTCACTAGAGAAAAGAAAAATACAAAAATGTGTCACAACTGTAACAGAAGAGAAAATTTAAAAAGGGCAAAACCAACAAGAAAGACACAAAGCTACCCCATAAAGACATAAGGTGACTACAAACACACACAAAATGACAACAAAGACACACAAAGTATCACAAATAAATGCAAAACCAGCACTGTGACACAAAATAGCCACTAAGAGTGACTAAATTGCCAAAAAAAAACAAAACACCAATATAAGAGGCTATATAGATTTTAAGGCAAAAAACACCCAAAATAAAACAGAAAATATCCAGAAAATGATGACAAAGACATGTAAACCCGTCACAATGAGAAGCAAACAGGCATGAAAACACACAGCTCCGCCACAATAAAAGATAAAATCACCTCAACGACATGTACACCCACCAAATTGAGACGTAAAACAGCCGTGAAGAGCTACAAAACCACTGATATTAAGAACAAAATCATCATTAAGTCATGCAAATCTGCTGGATCCAGCTTATTCTGCAGTAGCTGGATTTACAGCAGCAGCAGCAGCTGTATCTGCCGGCAGGCGGCGCCCTCCTTCTTTTGGGCAGCGGTCATAGCTGCTCTGTATCTGACAAGATGACTCACTCCGCTGCAAGAATCGCTGACTGGTGGGTGTTGACGCTGCGCCGTGTTCTCGTTTGACCTCACAGTCCCGGCAGTTACCATGGAGACCAGGCTGCACACACCTGAAACCTTCCTGCACCGACACTGGGGTCAAACAATCAGG